ATTTTTTTGTTTTGTTTTACTTTTTACTTAAAAAAGTAAAGTATCTTGAAGATCTCTGGTTGTTTTTTGTTTTTGTTTTTTTTTGTTGTTGTTCTTTGGTAGGGTCTTGCTGGCCCTGAACTCATACCCATCATCGTGCCTCAGCCTCCTGAGTACTGGGATTACAGGCGTGTGCCACCATACCCAGCTTGAAGATCTTTTCATGGTAGTACATAAATAGATTCATTTTTAATAGCTATATAATATTTAGTTACAAGATATATCTTAATTTATTTAAATAACTCCCCACTGATAAATATTTGGGTTATTCCTAGTTTTTATCGTAACAGCACAGAAGCTAATAGCTTTGCACATACATTACATCTGGAAAAGTGTATCTAAAGGAGAAATTTCTAAAAGTAAGACTGCTGTGATAAAGGATGAATCTGTAGTTTGTATACTATGAACTGCCCTTTATAGAGATTACAGCAATTTACAGCCCTATCAGCATGAACACCCTACCCACTTGCCTCAAAGTATATCAGAAATAATATTTTCACATGGATTTAAAATTTATCATTTTCTATATTACAAGTAAAGCTGAACTTCTTTTTGTATGTTTAAGAGAGACCTGCATTTTGTCTTTTGTGAATAGTTCATTTCCCTATGTCCGTTTTTTTTCTAATGGGTTCACCTATTACTTGATTTCTAGAACTAATTCATGATATGAGTTATAAATATAGATTTCTGTGTGTCATTTACCTTTTGACTTTAGTATATATTCTTATTTACTTTGCCACTAAGGTCTTCATTTTTTAAAAATAAAGCCAAATGTAGTCACCTTTTCTTTCTTTTGGCTTCTGGATTTGGAGTTTTAATTAGAAAGGCTTAAGAGGAGAGAGTGTTATCTCCATCTTAAAGAATAGGAAATTTAGATAAAAAAGTTTATCATATTTCACACCACTTGTTAGCGGCAAACCTCGTATTTGAGGGGTCATGGGAGCTGGATGCTTTGTATTCTTTCAAATACACAGTAAAGTTTTTATCATTGTGTGAAGTTTAACTCTTCAAAATAAAGACTATTTTGGGGAGGATATCACAGTAGAAATGGGACTCTGCTGACAAAGGCCATACAACATGTAGCTGGAGGCTGGCCTCCGTTTCCTCTGTGACATGATTAAAGTCCTCTTACACCTTTGCACTCCTGATGACATTACTCACCTGTCTCAGGCTCCTCTGGTGGCCTGGGAATTGTTTAATAATACACCTTTTGTAAATAATTTTTTAATATCTCTGAAAAAAAAGACCTTTAAAAACCCTTACCTTTGATCTGGTCTAAAACGAGTATCCGTAGGTGGTAATAATGACTTTGACAAGGGGTCCATTTCATTCAACTCTAATGCGAACTGTGTGAAGCCATAATATTGTTCATAGCCTTTTGGCATGGGATCTGAAAGAAAAATCATTCATCCCTCATTTGCCTTTCATTGAGATTACATTTTAATTCTTTCACCTTTTTTTAAATCCCCAAATGGCTACCATTCTTCTCTCTCAGCTCTAAAGTATCCCATTTTTATTAAAATATTCTAACAAATAAGTGTTGCATATTTCTCTATACATTTCTTTCTCTATATGTTTTCTTCTATCTAAAGACATATAACTGCCTTTGTTCCTTTGGTGAATTTATACAACGTTGTGAAGTTTCTGTACTGTTGGAGCTATAAAGTAATTTACTATTAAAATAAATATGGCAAAAAAACACTGAGTCTATTTCTTCTGACCCAAAAGACTCCCACTCTTGAGAATCCATTTTTATATAAGTGATGTCAAACTCTTCTGAGTTTGCCAACAATTTCAAAAGTATTTCTTTGTCAGCGTCTATAACATTTAGAGAGCTTGTTAGCTCCCATCAGTGAAACATACTTTAAACAAAGGAGTGAGACTGACTCACTTGCAAAATCTCATGCATGCTACTGGAGGAGGAAGATAACCACTGGGACAATTTATCCAAGCTTCCTGACAGCCTTGGCAATGGTGAGCGATGCGGCTGCTACCCACTGAAGGGGACATGGCCAGCTGCTACTTTTCATTCATTTCTCTTCCTTACCAAGGGAGGGAATACTGATTCTGTTCAGGGGGGGCATGTGTTTTTCCCAGGGGATAAACCTAACTGCATCACAATCCCTCTTGCCACCCTGTTGCTCGTGATTGGTTCAAGGAACGTTTGTATCCACTTCAGTCTGATGTGATATAAAGATGTATTTCCTTGGGGATCCCAAGAAACACTGCATCCCCGATAAACAAGAGGGGCATGAGAAGCACACTCTTTTCTCCTCTCCTCCTTTCCTGTTTGGTATGCAGTAGAGCGGGGATATGATACTGAGTCATGGTGACCACATTACTGCAAGTAGAAACATCAGGCACACTGGGAGCGGCAGAATGTGCCCTCATGGGTCTGTGTCTTGACATGGGTAAGGTGCTAGGTTACCAACCTGGGGCCACCAACCCTCACTGACTGTCAAGCAGTGTCAGACACCCACCCTCCTGGCTTAAGACATTAATAGAGGAGTTTTTCTTTGTTTGCTTTCTATCAGTCTGAAGCATTCTAGCAGCTGTGTCTCAAACCAATGGTTTTATAATGTGATCCTGACTTGGACTCATCTACAGTGGTAAAACGCTTAGGGACATGCTGCAGAACACTGGGCTGCCCCAGCCCCTCTCCCCAGCTGCTTGAAGCACTCCATGTCCCTCTGGAATCACAGAAGTGATCAGGATGGGTCAACCCAGAGATTCTTCACTCTTGTGGAACACCCAGGCCACTCTGTTTTTCCAGTTAACACACTTCTCTTGGTCCTTACTCTGGAACGACTTATTGCAGTTCACTGACTTTCCTTCAGAGTGCCACATGGTTCTGGGTGTGGACTCAAGACCCTCCACACTGCCCATCAACTTGTGCTCTGGGGTTAGGAACCTGGGACGGAGGAGCCCATGAGACAGCTGGATGGATGAAAGAAGGGCTGATACCTCTAACCTTGTTCAAAGCAGGGAGAGGCTGGGGTCATAGAACAGAACCGATCTCCTCCCCTAGCTTCCTCTTGGCCTCGCATAACTGCCCTCTCCCCGCCTGAGGTCACTGAGCCAGGACTCTCACTTGCTCTCCAGATGCATGTGGATGAAGAGGAGCCGCCACTGCAGTAGATGCTCTCGTGCCACTTCCCAAACAGGCGGTGCACTGCTTGTCCACTCCGGTCGAATACTGTGCCTTCGATCTCGTGGGCATTAGTGCTCCAGTATTTTGCCTAGCATGCAAAGGGAGTTATTGTGTAGTACTTTGTCTCCAGCTAAAGTGAGGAAGTGAAAGAATAGTAAGAGTAATTGCATACTGCATATCATTTGCCAGTTCTGGACTCTGTATGCTTCTTTTTTTGTACCAGGGATCAAACTCAGGACCTTGGGCTTGTGAGGCAGGCAGTGGAACCACTGAGCTAAATCCCCAGTCCCACTTTGTATGCTTTTTAGTTGACAAACAAAACAAAACAAAAACCTGTATACATTTATCCTATATAACACAATGTTTTGAAATATGAATATGCTGTGGGCTGGATGCCTAAATCAAAGTAATTAATACATGTTTTATCGTACATATTTTGGTAAGAACCCTTAAAAACTATCCTCTTATCATGTTTTAGGTATATGATACATCATTATTAAGGATGTATACCATGTTGTACAATAGATCTTTTGACCATGTTCCTCTGGTTTCACTGAAATTTTTTATCTTTTGACCAGTATTTCTCTGACCCACAGCCCTACACTTGGTAACTTCCATTCTACTCTCTGCAGATTTTTTTATATTTGTTTTAAAACATTTTATTAGTACATGTTTACAATACATAATACTTATATTCTAATGGGAAGTTAGTACATGTACATAACACATCTAAATTATTTTTATTTCCCTTTTTCCTCCCTTACTGCTCCCCTCTCTCCTTCTTCTTACTCTGTGCTTATGACTTCAACATTTTTAGTTCTACATATGGTAAAATCATGTGGTATTTGTTTTTCTGTGCTTGGCTTATTTCACTCCACATACTGCCTGCCACGTTCATCCATACTGTTGCAAATGAACATCTTTCTTTTTTATGGCTAAATAGCAGGTCATTGTGTGTACACACCACATCTTCTTTATCCATTAATTTGCTGATGGTCACTTAGGCTGATTCCTTATCTTGGGTATCGTGAAAATACTGTAATGAACATGGGAGTGCAGATCTTCTTGGTCACACTGACCTGATTTCCTTTGACTATATACCCAGCAGTGGGATTGCTAGGTCCTATGGTGGTTCAAATTGTAACTTTTTTGAGGAATCTTCCTTGTATTCTCCCACAGTACTAATTTACATTACTTCCAACAACATTCAAAAGTTCCCCCTTTTCCACATCCTTGCCAACACTTATCTTTCATCTTCTGGATAACAGCCATTCTGAGAGGTGTAAGATGATGTACTTGTTCTGATTTTAATTTGCACTTCTCTAACAGTGATTTTGACCATTTCTTCATGGATCTCTTGCCCATTTGCAAGACTTATTTTGAGAAATATCTGCTTAGGTCTCCTCCCACCCCTTTTTGAGGTGATGCAGATCAACCTATCTCTCCTCCCTCCATCCCCTCCTATGGCCCAGCACTTCCATGGTTGTCACCATGGCTCTTAGTACACTGTGGTTCTACTACCATTTAAAAGAAATTTAACTCGTTTTTTTCTCTTCACTTTCTTTAAAAGAGCTGCTTAGTCATTTGCAAACCTATCAAGGAGGATACTTAAATTTCAATTTCTTTTATTATTCTTTCTGAAACAAGGGCTGTTCCCCGAGTCCACTAAGCCCCCATGCTTGGTCACTCCAGCTCAGCTCAGCACAGCTCTGGTCAAGCCTGTTAGTTTTATACAGTACCACACTCCAGCCAGAAGAGGGAGCTCCAATTCCCTAGAGTTGATTTTTATTTATTTATTTATTTATTTATTTATTTATTTATTTATTTTTCGGTCTAAATCTCCCAACTAAGGGCCTGGCTGCCCTTAAAAATCGCTAGGAAAGAACAGAAAGCATTTCTCCATAAATCAAAAATCTCAGCACTATTTTCAGCTGACACAATCTATACTTGGAAACTAATAACTTTGACGAAAGGCATTTTCAGGACATATCCTGGTGGTGCAGCTTCTCCACTCCAAGATTGGTAAAAATGGGAAGGAAGGGCGAGGCATAGCAGCATCTCACAGGTGAAGCAGAAATTTTAACATGAATTTTCCGGTTATATAAAAATGGGAGGGAGGGGATGGAGGGAGGGAGAAAGAGGGGTGGAGGCGCTGTCTAGGCTCTTTCATTTATTCTCAAGTGAGAGATTTTTCTCTTAGAGATATTTACCAACAAATCCAATGTTGACAACTAGATGGGAAGCCAGAGGGGCCCTGCCACATTTGATGGGCAACCATGCATCCGTTTTTCAACACCAGAGGAACAGTCAATGTTCATCTCTCATCACTGCAGAAGTCCCTTCTCTGGCTCTGGGTGGATGAGAACAGCTGGGCAGTAGAGAAAGAGCCTGAGTACATTTCCTCGGGAAAATACTGAAAACTAGGGTGCTGTCATCTTGATCAGGGGTCACAGGTGCCTGCTCCAGGGTGCTCTTTACTTCTTTTTGCAGAGCTTGAGGTGAAGCTTTCAAGGTAGGGTCATTTTTATTTTGCCCCAAATGTAAGTCATTTCTAACGGTAGGTCTCTCTATGACCCAATTTGACTGCAATCAGCTTCTTCTATAGGGTCCCCTACGGGTTACAGGTAGCTGAAACCTCATCTGGCAGCTCATGTCTTCTGATCTTAGTTAAATGCAAGTACCTCTTGAGGGGGATAATGCTTTGACATCATATAAAGTACATACCATTTTTAAGTGCAAGAAGGATTCCAAGAGGAAAAGTAGGGAAAGACCTCAAATAAAGGTAGCTGGAAAGATAAAGAGACTACCCCATATTTTTTACATCTGGCCAATCTTTCCACTTTCTCTGAACAGCATGAGCCTCTGCCACATGCCAGTACTACACGAGGGCTATGTAGTGAGAAAGACAGGTCAGGCTTTTGCTCTTCTGGAGTTGGGGATGGTGAGGAGAATGTGGAGAACAGAAAATAAACAGTTAAAGAAACGATCAGCACACTAATTTCAGATGGTAATAAAAGCCTTGAAAGAAAGTGGGATATGATATGGCACAGCTTTCCTTCTGGTAAAACATATAAGCATAAAGTTTACCATCTGAATGATACCTAAATGTAAAATTCAATGGTATTAATGATAGTCACAATATTGGGCAACTGTCACCACTTTCCAAGACTTTTTCATTTTCCCAAACAGAAAATTCACACCCATTAAATATTAACTCCCCATCTCTCCCTCCTCCAGTCCTGGCACCCACAATCTGCTTTCTGTCTCGGTGGGTTTGATCCCTCCAGGGACCTCATGTAAGTGGAACCATGCAGTGTGTCCTTTTGCATCTGCCTCATTCCACTTAGCATAATGTCTCCAACTTGCAACCATTTTGTGGATGATGATGTTTTTAAAGGGCCCCTCTAGCTGTGCACTGAGGACAGATCATCAGGGAGTTAGGGCAGGAGAAAGTCCAGGAAGGGTCATGGTCCCGGTCCAGGTGACAGAGGTGGAGTTGGGGTCAGGGGGTGCCGGCACTGGTTGTTGTCTGCTGGAACAAATGGGAAGGTGTAAAGCCCAGACAGCCTGTGTCCTCAGGCTCCAGATCCGCCTCAGCCCTTCCAGGGTCAGAATTACCTTTATGAAGTTCACTTTGCAGTGGCAGGAATCATCATTCAGGTTGTTGATGACAATCTCTCCATAGTGCTCAATCCACCTCTGCCCACTTAAGATGTTATGGATGCAAGAGGTCACCTTGTTCCATTCAAAGTGATCTCCAAAACTAAAATGGAGGGAGAAGAAAGAGTGGTGATGTCCAGAAAAGCCAGCGACAGCTGCAAGCCAACACTGCTATTTTATAAAATAAATCACATTCACTCGTCTCTTCATCCACCAACCCCACACTGTGCATCAGCGCTGCATGGGTGACACATGAGCTCCAACCTCCAAGGAGTCCCTCAAGACACACAGGACGGGGTGGTCAGACTCTTGTACTCTGGAAGCCACGGAAGGCTTTGCTGGAGGCTTTAGGTCTCTGGACCACCCACTTCCTCCTTCAACGAAGGAGGTAACCAAGAGCCAGAGCTGACACGATAGAGCTGCCCAGCTAGGAATGAGCAGTTGGTGGGAGGAAACTATGGGGGTTTATATGATTTGACAATTATATCTCTTATGAAGAGATGTTATTCAGCTATTACTGAGTTAGCTAAGAATTATGAGGAAACTGATGAGACTGAATACGCGGCCTATGCTACGTGCCAAGTGCTGTTTTAAAAGCTTGACATATATTAGGTATTTGCTCTTCTCTGTCCTGTGAAGGAGGTGGCTTGTAATCCCCAGGTCACAGATGAGGGGACTGATTATGAGAAAAGCAGCCACTCAGAGTGAGCACTGAGTCTCAGCAGCCTCATTCCAGAGCCCCTGCTTATAGGCACTTTGCTTTATAAATAAGCATCAATAATCCTTGTCAGAGGAAGGCCACGTCTTTCTTAAAAGGAATTCTGACAGGGCAATAACATTAAAGAAAACTACCATCTTAACCTTGATAGGAAGTAGGAGTGGCTTTTTAAAAAGAAAACGTCGGTCTGCAGGCAGCTTTTCTGCTTAAGGGAAAGAAAACCTGAGCTTGCCCAGATGAAGAACATTTCACATCACTGCCAAACAGTTCAAAAGAAAACCATACTCTCCAGGTTAGGGGGTGGTGGGCATCCTGACCTTAAAGTGTCTTCCTGATACTAAAGTCTATAAAATTCCTAACCATGGAAGAACTCACGTTGGGAGAGTCACATGGGTTGTGCCGACTGGAACAATTTCCATGGATTTGCCCCAGAATTTGTTTTTCCATCTCACATCTGAAATGAAATAACAATTATTACATGTTTAGTAAGACAGCTAGTCAAACCAAAGAGTTCTTAGTCTACTGAAATGATAATCATTAGATAGTATAATTCTTCATAATCAGATTATTACACACAAGAATATTTCATCAATATATGTACTAATTGGGCACTTGAAACAGAATGAGAAAAACTAAAATTATAAGATAAAGTCCTTCCCTTGGAAGAGTTAGTGGCAGGAAAAGCTAACAAAAGTAAAAACAAGTAGTAGACCACACAGAGAGACACAGCCTACAGAGGAGGGTGTTCTAAGGTGAAATGGAAACTGAGAGTAAGAAATGACCGACATGCTTGGGAAAGATAGCAGAACGGTTTTTCAGAAGGGGCCATCTAAACGGGGGTTCATAGAATATGTAGGAATTTACCAGGCAGGAAAAAAGAACAATTTAAGGCAGAAAAAACAGCATAAGGAGATAAAAATATGAGTAGAGTGTGTTCTATTTTATAGGTCTGAGATTATCTAGGGAAGAGTAGAAAGTCAGATGGAGAACAAAACTGAGCAGGCTCCACAAGCCTGGTTAAGAAGTCTGGTTTGTGTGCACTGCGGAAAATAAACAGGGAACTGATGTGATCAGACACAGATCCTGCAAAGACAATTGGAAGCTATGCGAAGAAGAGATGAGAGTAAGGCAGCAAGAGGCTACAGTCATTGCCCAGCGGACGAATGAGTAACAGCAAGGGTGACACAGTGACCCTATAAATAGTAAAGAAGTAGGAATGGAGTGGAAAATTAGATACAGACTGACAAAGAAAAGGAGAATTTATAAATGATGTCAGATTTTTCTAACATGCATGAATGTTGTACCAACAGAAGAGACAGGAGTAGCAGAAAGCCTGTGGAGAGGTCCCCTGGCTGCTGGACTGAGGACAGAAAGACTGCAGGGAGGTGTGGTGGAAGCAGGCAGCCAGGAGAGGCCAGAGTTGGGTCCTGGATGGTGCTAGGGCCTGGGAAGGGGGAGCAGGCCCGGGGAGCACCCAGACACATAGTATATTATTCTGTTTGTATGAAATACCCTAAATGAACAAATTATATGGACAGAAAATACATGAGTGCTGTTGCCTTAGGTTGGGGCTGCTGGGGGAAATTGGAGGAGAAAGTATTTGCTAGAGGTATCTTCTGAGTGATGAAAATGTTCTAAAATTAACTGTGCTATGACTTTACAACTCTGTGAATACTAAAATAAAAACCACTGAATTGTACACTTTAAACAGGTGAATTTTATAGTATGTATATGAATTCTATCTCAATAAAATTATTATCTAATGGGGAAAAAGATAACTGTTTAACAACACATGGGCGGGTTATAACATATGCAAGCTCAAAGTTTGGAAGAGAAGGATCAGAAGTGCACTTTCTTAATTTTGAAACATTGTATGTGAAGTGGCATTAACATTACTCGACAGACTGTAATATATTAATGAATGTATGAATTCTAATGTAACAACTAAACCACAGAAAAAAGAGGCATAGCTAAGAAGTCAACGGAGGAGATGAAATAGGATTATAGAAAGCATTCAGATAATCAAAAATAAGGCAGAAAAGGAAAAAATGGGGAACAAATAACAGATCTGACAAATGAGAGGGCAGATTTAAACTCAACTATATCTATAATCATAATAAATGTAAATGGACTAAACAACATAATTAAAAAGCAGAGAAATATATGATTGGATAAAAATCAAGATTTCAGAGTCATAGGCCCATGAGATAGAATTAGTCAGAAAAGGCTGATGAAGAAGAATTTCCCAGGAAATGAATGATTAGAAATGGAATTAAGGAGGAAACATGTAATATGGGAAACCCACAGAAACTATTTTGAGAAGACCTCCCCTCATTAAGAAAATACATAATTTAAAAAACAATTGAAAAAAAAGAGGTGTTTATAGGGTCAGATTAATAGGATATTAGGAACCTTATGAGAATTATTTTCAGGGAGTTTTGGTGAATTTGATATTAGAGAAATATCAAATCAAGCTTTAATTTTAAATTTTAATAGCAAATTGTAAAAAAAAGGAAATCACAGTACTTGGAATTGTTAATATCAATCATATCCTTACAGAGGAACTGGGTGATTGATGGGCAAAGGAATAGATATAGGGAGGTGATACTGTATATTCTTTTGTACTTTCAAAATCAGGAATTATCAGGTAGGAAATCAGGTGGTTATCATTTTAGTAGAAAAAGATGTTTCAAAAAGTGATATATGCTTATTCTTAAAAAACCCAGGATGATCATATTTTCTGTCTATATTACACTCCAACTTTTTGAATAAATGAAGATTTTAACAAAATTAATTAACCTAAGAAATATTTTCAGCCATTCAAAATATAAACAACAAAATTTTAGGAACATCAAAGTCAAAACTGAAAAGAAAGAAGCAGTGTAAATTGTTATTCCAGAATTAAAATTTAGATGTTTCAAAAGTAAAAATATCATCGCTTCTCGGCCTTTTGGCTAAGATCAAAAGTAAAAATATCCCTCTGTTGTTTAGGCTGTGATAAATAGGAGTAAATATTTAGTGTCCTCTGAAATAAGTGAGACATTTGAAGTGCTATAGAATAGAGAAAAATATCGAAGGAGGACTGTATGTAATAGAGAAAAACATACATAAATAACTGGTATTGACTATCCAGCTAAAGATGGAAGATATTGTTTAAAAAGGGAAAATTAAATGATCTCCCTGAAGACTTTATACAACCAATTATCAATTACAGTAGTACCAATTAATAACTGACAAATATCAATTATTGTTCAGAGATGAGAGCTGAGAACGTCAAGTGGAGCAGATTCACTAGTGAGATCCAAGTCCTGGGACCACTTTTGATCTTAGAAAGCACTGATGGTAATTCCTGAATGAAACACATCTACAATGTTTCAGGAAATGGAGGTTAAATATATGAGCACATTACCTTGCCAGAAAACAAAATTTCCAGACTCAGCATGACACGCAGAGATAGGTGGATGGTGGCTGACCTTATGGAGACAAAGAGAAAAAAGAAAAAGTGAGAAAACTTTTGTATATCATGAAATCCATTCCTCCTCCCTTGCACTGAGATGTGGCACAGGTGTGATGCTCAGCTGAAGGAAAACTTGTGCAGTTTCCTTCAAGATGTGTATTCTCAAGAGGGCGCTCCTGATAAAGTCAGCTTTGCTTCGCTCAGGTCTGCCAAGGTGAGAAAAAAGCTGTGACTGGAAACCTCTGGAAACTTCCCTGAGAGGGTGGCCAAGGGCAAGTAATGAACACAGATACATATTTGGAAAGGTGTAAAAACAAAAACAGGGACATCTGAGGACTTTCCATTCATAAATCATACAAAGCAACACTGCCTACCAACTTCAAAATCTTTTAGGTGTTCTGAAAGTATCTGCACACATTTTAACTAATATGACAGAGTGTTTTAACACACACTTTCTAAGCAACACCAACATGCCCTCCCTCCTGCTCAGCAGATTTAACTCTTGAAAACTGTACCACGCAGTCCAGCTTCTTCTCAAATTATCCACAAGCAGACTCATTCAATTTGTTTTTAAAAAGAAAAGTAAAGTTTTTGGTCTGGGGACGTAGCTGGGAGGCAGAGCACTTGCATAGCATGTGTGAGGCACTGGGTTCAATCCTCAATAAGAAATAAAACAACAGCTAGACATACAACTTTTGAGGAAATGTTTGCTAACTGCTAAGAAAAAAACGTGTTCATCTTTTGTCAAGGGCAAAAATAAATATGTTGAGTAAACAAGTAAATATAGCACACTGCAGCAAAGACAATCCTCTGTAATGGAGACCACCTTCAGGCAAGGGGTCACTATATGTTTTCTTCAGTAATTACAGAAAATAGGCTCTCCTTTCTATCTCATCTGAGCAACACTCAAGGAACATGTTGTTGTTTGTTATAGTTCATTACTAGTGAGACCAGGTTGGTAATAGTGTTTCTAAATGTTTCTGCTTTAGCTTATTCTTAGCACAGGTATCCTACATTTAGGATATCTAGCCCAAAGCTTTTATATTATAAATGTGGAAAATGAAGTCAGAAAGATGAAATGACATTTTCCAAACCACAATGACAGAGTAGTAGAGGGAAAATGCAAAATTTTGGTTTACCCGAATGGTTTTCAAATTTTAAAATAAAATTTTAAGTAATTAAAGTTAACACTTTTTATTTTATTACTTATTTTTTTCTGATAAAATATTTAGGATTGGGCCCAGGGCTTGCTATATACTAGACAACTGTTTTTCCACTGATCTATATCCCTAGTTCTCTTTATTTTGAGGCAGGGTCTTGCTAAAAAGTCCAGGCTGGCTTTGGATTCGTGATCTTTCTGTCTCAGCTTCCCCAGTAGCTGGGGTCACAGGTGTGGGCCAGTGTGTCAGGCTCAAACACGTCAAGGACTTACTTAGAATATGGAGTCCTGACTGAGAAGGACAGGAATACACTTGTGTGTGGAGAGGAGGGGTATGGGGAGGACAAACCCAGAGCCACTCTCCCTGCTCTGGATCCTCAACAGCACTGAGGACCATGGTTTGGAAACCACTTCTGCAGGTGGCACCTTCAGGGATGGAATGATCCAGTCATGCATACCAGAGTTATTTCATGGATGGGATTATGGTAGAAACCGTTTGGACCAAAGAAAAGTAGAGGGGCAGGCTGAGATAGTATGTATGCATTCCCGATTATTCAGTAAACTTTAATTTAATACATCTCCCTATATGAAGTAGGAGATGTAATTGCGCTGTTTTTGTTTCATCTTAGTTCTCATGTTCTTAGTATAAATGTACGAGCCTATCCTATGGGATTTTTAAGGGCAATTTTCACTTAAAGCACTTAGAACCTAACTTCTATAATGTAACCGTGATTTTCTTTGATGTCATTTGGAAGATTATTTCAATTTTATTTTAAAATAATTTTAAATTATAAAATTTAATTTTATAATTGCTGTTATCATATGTCTAACCTGACAACTTGGAGATACTTTAGATCACAAGGTTCTGTACCCCCTTAAGATAGCTCTCAAAATAAACTACTTAACTTTTAAAGCATGGGATTGTATAAAATTAAGACAAAACAATCGCCACCTCTCCCATCCCACTTGACATAATCCACTACCAAATGGGAAAGGAGCATGGACTATTCCTTTCCTCTAAAATACAGACATTTTAGAGTGGGTTATCAACAACTACATTACATTCATCCCAGAGAAACAATATAGCAATGGGGGAAGGAAGCACTATAGCCTAGATAAAAAAAACTTGGCACCTTTACAGGTATAGCCAAATATAAACATCAAAGCAAAATACAGCACACTAAAATTATGCATTTGCTCAGAAATAAATAAAAGAGGAATAAATACTGTCTATGAAAATTATAAAAGAAGTCTTCGTATACTTTAAGTATATACATGTCCTAGGAAATGCAACTTTGATTTAAAACAACCACTGTGCCAGATTAACAAACCAATGTTTAGCAGAGTGCCTTTACATGGATCCAAAAAATGTTTTTTGAATGCTCAAATCTCAATATTCAAGTACCAGTGACTTTGCTTATTTCCTTATGGCTTAAAGAGAACTTAGAGAATGGTTTATTTGTACCACTTTGCTTTTCAGAAGTTTGCAAAACTTTCCAGTGATGCTTCTTTTTTAAAAAATTTATTTCCTTGCAACAGATATTTATTCATTAGATATTTCCAGATTATCTGCCCCAGGCAATTCTAGTGTCAGGGAATTCAGGAGAGCTTTTGTTGTCCTACAGATCTGGGTCCTAACTGCCATGTCAGCTGCGGGCTGTATGATGTTAGGCAAATTTCTTAACTGTTCTCAGCCTCAGTTCTCTCAGCTATAAAACAGGGCTAATGTTACTGGTGGACTACATAAATAAAATATGTCCAGTGACATATTTTAAAGCAGTGACTAAACTTTAATTTTTAAAATGATTGTATTTCACTTAGTTTTTATGGTGGCTTTGTACCTTCATTAGCCTTATGTTACAAATTAGGAAATAAGATCTCTGTCCAGCAAAGAACTTGCTTGATGCTACATTGTTAATGAATGACTAAGGCAGCATTTGGTCCTCAACCCAAAGCTCTTCTCTTTTCTCTTTCCCAGCGGACTTTCTATGGCTTCTCTCAGAACTAGGCTCTGGTCCCCAAAGCCAGGGTACAGCATAAGGTTCCCTTTCAACACTTAAAGAATCTTTTGAATCTGACCTTTCTAACCTTCTGAGTCTCATTTTTTTCCTTTGTAAAATGGGGCCTGTCAATATCTTGGCTACAAAATACTGTATTTCTAATATCTGCTCTCAATGTCTTCTTCAAAACTTAGCATCAAAGATGGCAACAGATGCCAGCCAATTTGAAAATATAATTTTAAGGCTTTGATTAGCTTGAATGCCCACAGAAAGGGATAATTCACGACTAATCACTTTATCTTAGTTAATGATGTCTTTGTACAAGAATAAAGACTAATGAACAAAACATAATGTGTTTTTGTTGGTGTAGGACTTTATTAGGTGTCTGTTCTTGTTATATCTTAACCCAGGCAAAAAAAAGGGTGGTAGGTGCCTTTGAGTTTGAACTGATCCAGCCCCAGAAGAGACACTGTCTGTTGTATTACTGGATAAATGAAGATTAGACTGGTTTTCGGCATTCTTTTCTGTCACTTCCTCCAGAAAGAATCAGTTGATAAGGATTTGATTATATTTGATTGATAAATGTTCCTAAACATTCAATTAGTGCACGGTTTTCACTATGTAAGTATTTAAATGGTGAAACATATATCTTTCTGCAAGCCCTAATACAGCTCCCTTGGGAGTTAGGAATTTCTGAAATTATAACTTTTTTTGTATATAAGAGGACTTTCTTTACCCTTTCCCAATCATTTTTTTATTTATAATTGAATGTAATTTAAATAAGAGGTAGGTGGCCAAAGAAGCAGATGTGGAAAAGGTATATTTCAATATTGGTGTAGTCTGTACATTTTTCTTTTTCAGAGGTAGAAAAACATACTTTAATATACCATTCCTCTGCAACTTCCCAGAGACACAGCAATGTAATCACCTAGTTCCTGACACCTGCAGGGCAGCTTGTTGAAAGGAGAACCTGTATCAGGTGAAAAATCACCTGAGGAAGTGGCCAAGTAGCTGTTCTGCATTAAAACATTTAGTGACTGCCATGTGTGGGCACTCCTGGTCACTGTGGACACATGAAAAACACAAGATACAAAAACTATCCCCTTCATAGAATTTATATTTTAGGGCAGAAGTGGGGACAGTCATGACACAGTCAGAGAGCATCACCACAGGGATGGGGGATGGGCAGAGTCCTGGGCCCTTAGCCAGCTACTCATTAAAAGCACAATTTATGTGTTTTCCTTTAGGACAGTGAGTGACCCAAAAGCCATTTTTTGCTAAAACCCACAACTTTTCATTTGGGCCTACAAATGCCCAATAGTGACTAAAAGCAGAACAAAGCTTGACTTTCATTTTGTAGCCTTGGTTACTGCAAACTCTGGGTCAAATTCCCTCTCAACTCCGTACATTAATCATTAAGGGAGTGTCTGCTTAAAGGTTGATTTGACAAGGTGATCACCTCTCAATCTGCATCAACTTGGCTGGCTCCTTTCAAGACTGGGGACACTGAGGACTGGGGATTTACAGGGACCAGAGGTCTCCAGCTATCATCCTGAACCTGTGATCAGCTCAATTTTGGGAAAAGCAGAGCTCCACATGGCTAACGCCGCTGCAAGGACAGACAGTCATTTCATGGGACTGGAACAGTCCCTCAAGCCACGAGGACTCCAGAGCTGGGAAACCAGAGCTGAGACAACGATGAGGAGCCCAGCCCAGGAGCCGATCCTCGAAAGCTAGCTGCCCGCCCTTGTGGGCAGGTCAGTCTGATCCCCTTCCTCAGAGTGCACTTTCTCCAGCTGCTCCAGCCAGAGTTCTTATTTGTCTTATGCTCCTTTGTTAAGGGCCAGGCTGATCTTTGTCTCCTGGCCTTACGCTAAAAATCCTTATTATTTTCTAATTAAAGCTTTTTCCTTGTAAATCTGTGCATTACTTTTAATTTCCATCATTACTAAAAGCAAAGGGCTTTTTAGGCAGCAACAGTGAGATAGACAACATATAAAAAAGCACCTGGCGTGTCAGTAGAACAGGTGTTGGGAAGATACTATAAAGCATGAGGACAGGGCCCACGGAGCAGGAGTGCTATTCCCAACAGGTGGAGGGACAGGGCTGTAAAACGATGGAAATCTCCTTGGAGGCTAAGGGACCTAAGGAAGCTAACCATGCAAATATCTGGGAGAAGGAAACACAGCCTTTGCCAAGGACTGGAAATGCTCAGTGTGAATCAGAAGAAATGAAGAGGCCAGGGTGGCTGCAGTTGAATGGGGGAAGGTATGGTACCTAGGTTGGGCTTGGAAGGGCTTCGTGGCTCCAGACTCTGGATCTTATTCCATGTGACTTGAGAAGCTGTGAAAGGGCACAGAGAAGATGTTGCTTCTGTTTCAAGCACTCTGCTTGCAGGGCAAGGAATTGGCTATGGAAACAAGAGACCAGCTAATAAATCTAGGGCAACAGTGTCTGTCATTGATTATGGTGGTTTGGGCCAGGCAGTCAGCAGCAGGGAGGAGGCAGTAGAATAGCTGCATTGGAAAGGAAGGCTTCTAAAGGGAGATCTGGATTTGCTGATGGATAGGATGTGAATTTTAAGACAAAGGGTTATAAAGAATGAGGCCAAGGAAACTGGCTGATGTTGGGGGGAGAATGCACTCGGCAAAATTCAAAGTTTATCACTTATAAATACCAGGCTTCTTGCAAAACAAAAACAAGAATACATTAGGTGATGGCCTAGAAATGTAGGAAACCACAAAGCAATGGCTTCTTTACCTTCTATTTGAGTTACTGCTAGTTTTATTTAGACAGTTTGAGTTTTCCCTCTGACAGTGTCTTTAAAGGTGATGCAACTTTGATCTGCAGTAAATAACTATCTGCTGGAGATAAAAGAACTATTCAGAGGTGATGTAAGTGTTCAAGGAGAGAGCTGACAAGCATGGCATTAAGAAATCTGTGCAAGAGAATATATCTTCAGAATTCTCCAAATGAGCAGCAGAAAAGCAGAACATACAGAGCCCACAGAGAAAGGGAGAAAAATACTTCACTTGAATCTCTCACATCTCAGTAACTTTAAAAAATTTTTAATAACTTTCACTAACTTCATTCAGTCTCTGACACAAATTGTCAACTGTATACAGCAGAATAAGTAAATGGTTAAAATTACTTGAGCAAGCATCTGACAACTCAAGTCCCATGTACCTTACATAGTAAAAGCTGCTGTTAGGTAGTGGCTTACTCGCTTTCAACCAACACTATCCTCTCTATAGAGAAAGCAGCAGAACTAACTGAAATGAGTTCTGACCCAAGCACGCCCTCCACAAAGCTCAAAACCAGTGTGTTCACTCCACCAGCCAGCAGGAGAAGGCAGCAAGGAGTAACAATGGGCAGGTTACTGAGTGCTTGACAGCAAGGAAAGCAAGGAAAGCCATTCTCTCCATATTGCCCCTTTCCTGGGCCTACTTAGAAAGCCAAGGCTATGTCATTTCTTGATTTCTTGGCACATCCTTGAGGAGGTGGGGTAGCCACAGGTTAGAACAGAGGACAGGAATGTTTATGATTTCTTCCTGAATGCCTCTCATTCACAAAGGCCACACTCACCCTCAATGGGAGTTGGGAACAAAGTCCTATGTCAGAGTGGAGGATGAAAGGATTAAATGACATGACAGGCAAAATTTCTTCTTCTGAACAGTATATAAAAAAGGTATTTTTACATCTATAGCCTGCAACTCTTAGTTCCTCTGAATACAGTAACTAAATCTGCACAAGAGAACCCAAAGGGTGTCTGGGAGAAAGAACACTACAGGAGCCACGAGCCCAGCATTAGATTGGACAATGGGAAACTAATTCTTGAGGCCTGGGTTTCCTTGCTTATAGGACTCAGTTTTCTTGAATGCCTCCTACACAGGGCAATTCTGAGAATCAAATAAGATCATGTGCTCGTCAGAAAGCATAAAGTAGTCTACAAACCTAGTACTTAATTGTGATTAGGAAAATCTGAACAAGGAAAATTTTCCCGAGTTTCTGACCATGAGTAGCTTTGGTATTAGGTTTTCAGGGTTTTTGGATGGGAAACAGCATAGAGAAGCAAGTTTCTGTGTAGCTGAACTCTATGAAGCAGCAATTACTTCATGTCCTGGACACTTACCACCTCCAACATCCACATAACCTCAAACCACAGAGCTACTCAGTCCTGGGGCGTGGAGGAGAGAGCTGTCACTTTTAAGTCCGACTCTCTTATCTAGAAAAGCCAGCCAAAATGACTTGCTGTGTCTCTCAGATCCTTAAGCTTGGAGATAAGATTCCATTAATGTATTCTTTCGGATAGAATTTCATGAGAACTATTCATTTTGGGGCCCTACTTCATTTATTACTTATCCTTCAGAAGTCTGTACCCCTAGCTCTCTCTCTCTCCTTCTCTTTCTTTTATTTGCAGTACTAGGGACTGAACCCAGAGCCTCTGAATTGAGCTATATTCCCAGCCCCTTTTTTTTGTTTTTTGAGACAGGATCTTGCTAAGGTGTTGAGTTGCCTAGGCTGGGCTCGAACTTGTGATCCTCCTGCCTCAGCCTCCCAGAGTGCTGGGAGTATAGGCATGTGCCACCATACCCGGCGCTACTCTTTTCTTATGCCTCTGCATCCTATCATAATTGTCTTCCACAGCTTAGGGCTATTTTGGGTCTTTTTTTTTTCCTCATAAGAGTGAGTATAATACCATGGTAACAAAATTATACTTTCTTTCCATTTTAGGTTCAGTATTTAAATAGCCTGGTTGAATTTGAATCAGACACATTATCTTATCCCCTTAACTACTGATTTAACCCCTCACCTCCCTAGTACAAGCCATTACTTGGTTTCTTATTTTAGCTCCTAACTAGAAAACTAATGAAAATACGCTTTCAGGTTTATTGTATATTCATTTTCTCATGTTCCAGAGAACACTGGTCATCATTTAGACAGTTAAGTCTCTGGGCCACGCCACCTTTCTCTTTGATCCTCATGAGAAAGAGTGTAGCAGGGCAAATGGAAGGGAAAGAATATTTTGGCAACCCATCCTCCCTCTTTTTCCTCAGTTTTCCAAGAATTGGGAAGAGAAATCTAGCTGATCCATGATGCTTAGTGGCCCTAAGGTGACACTCGAGGATATACTACAGATGAACATGCTCAGTTGCTGCTAAATAAGATGAGGAAGGCTGCTTTTTTACTTGCTGAATATGTGCACTCTAACTGCAATTATTCCTCATCGCAGATATTTTCAAGGTTCCCAACATTTCATTACTGCACACCGTGCCGTCACACATTGAAAATGCCAGAAAACACACACAGAACTTTTACAATTCATGCATCAGACTGTCTGTTCATTAATCTTCACAGGCATGTGCAGCACATATAATGACTGTTGCCCGTATGTTAAAGAGGAAATAATAGCACATAGAAGATAAATGACTTGCCCTAGGATATACAGCTATCTAGAGGTACAGCTGAGAGCGGACCCAGGGTGCTTAACTCTTGAACAGTATTCTATGCTTGTTCTTATGTGGCCAGAGCCATGGAACCTCAAGCTCTCTTTGTTTGAAGTATGTGTGTCCTTCCACGTGATGACGACTCGTAGTACACATTCAAGAAATAACTTATTGACTGAATGAATAAATACACAAATGAATGATTCTTTTAAGTCAAAACTGATAACAATGCAATGATGTGGTGCTGTCCATTCTGAGGGGCGGTCCGGCTCTGGAGTGACAATACTCGTAGTTAGGGGACACTTCCAAACTCTGAGTGACAAATGGGACAAGCAACCCATGCTTGGAAAATTCCTTTGCTAATGATTTTACCAAGAAAGGATACTGTTCATGTACGTAGCCAAATGAGTGCTGAGAATCATTTACCACTTTATGACCATGGGTATTGGCTGGGTTTCAGTGGAAGGGAAATGGATCCCTGGCTTCATGTTTTAAAGCACTGTAATTTTCTCAGTTGCTTGAAGCCAATGAAAGGCAGGCATAAGCACCCCCTGCCAAAACAAAGTGGTGCACATTCACCTGTTCTGCAAAAAACTGGAAGCCCTTGTCCTCTCGAAAACACTCGTAGGTTTCTCCAAGGACTGGATTAAATGGCTTGCTCCCAGCTCGGTAGTAGCTGGATGCATATGCGGATACAGCAAAGGCTGCCACATACACCTAAGGAGGGAAAGAAAAGAACTTGGTTACTTCTAGGTCATCAAGAAATCTGTTTTTCACAAAGAAATGAAATAAAACTTCAATTTCTCTCTCTATGGTTTACTGCAGGAAGCCAAAGATTTGTCTTTGATTTAAAGACAAATGAATCAATGTTGGTTTAAAGTTGCAGGTTTACATAATGTTCATTTTGGCCTAGAAAAAAACCCCAAAAATCTTAAAACTGTCCATTTATTTTGATGCCTAAAGGATGGGAGAGACGTGCTTAAGATGATGACATTTATTTATTTATAAAATAGACCAACCTGTTGATTCGGTACCTTCAAGCCTGACATGAACTGGAAATCCAGACATCATGATTTCAGGGGAGAGTGGAGAGAATATAAAAAAAAGCCAAACTTCCCACACAAATTCAAGAATAAGCATCATTAGTTTGGTTAGTTACAATTTGATACTGTTGAAACCTAAAAACTCATTTTGACCAAAGAAAACCTGTGAGAGTCATTTCCTAAGTCTGGGAAACAAACACAGGATATGTGGCATTAAAGTTCTTCTTTCTTGGAAGAAAAATTTAGCATCAAAGAAGAAAAGGGGGCAGGGATTATACATGAACATGAAATGAACAAAATCCTTCAATGGTCCTCACTATGAAGATTCCTAGATTTTTATCAGTTCCCTCTTCAGGCATCAACCTTTTCTTTCAACCTTCACCAACTTTCAGGCAACCTTTTCTTGTCTCTTCTTGGCCAAAAAAGTTTGACCTAAGTAGTAGTAGCAAAATTTCCTTTTGTACTGTTGAGTGGTAATGATCTCAACATTTCTTCTTTCCAGCACATTCCTTGAAGATTCTTACCCTGAAGAAAGGCTAAGTGCCTTTCATAAATGTTCACTAGCCACATCACTTTCCTTATTAGAATTTTCCAAAATGTTTGGGTACTCTTTATAATGGGTTGTAGATTGTCCCCGAACCCCTGGATAATTTATAAAAAATCAATTCATGGACATGGGTATAGCTCAGTAGCAGAGTGCTTATTCAGCACATGCAGGCCCTGGGTTCCATTCCCAGTACCAGAAAAAAAAAACACATACATCTCTATATATCAGTTCACTATGCTCATGTGAGTCCCATCTGTGACTGCCTATGTTCTTGAAACTCAGGCTTCTGTTCTTTTCTTCTCTGCCTCCTCATGTTTGTGACATGAGAAACAGTAAGGTTACACTGTCTGTTATAGAGTACTGAACAACCACAAGTTGCTTTCACAATTTAATAAAAGAAACTTGTGCCATCCTCAATGCTACGGGAAGAAGAGATTGCAGAGGCAGGCAAAATGAAGCAGCTCCTTGCAGGCTGGTGACATGACAAAGGATCTATGCAGGGGACTCTGGTGACCCTCAGAACAGAAAGGAAGCTTCAGTCAAAGTGTCTCCTTAGTTGTTGTGCTGGGGATGTGGAGCTTTTACCCAAACTTCTGTCCAATGTCACATATGCAGGTCAATTAGCAGAACATCCTAAGGGTCTCTAAATTGCCATAAGAATCAACCATCATCAAGAATACTCTCATCATCAAAGCCAATCAGCTTCTTTAAAGGAAAAAAAAAGCTATTCACCAAAGCTGACATTTAACACCTGCCTTAAAAGCTATTTGCCTCCATTTTTACAGCACAAATCATCTGGAGGAAAGTAACAAAGATTAATACACACACACACACACACACACACACACACACAAAGCTTATTTTTTTTTTTCTGTCCTGTCCTTATTATCATTAGCATCAAGGAAAAAAGAAAGTCTGCTTGATGGGGGAGGCACAGAGCAGAAGGACTAAGGATGAACATTTTCTTTTGGCCTGTGATTTAAATGTCCCTTTAATCTTCAAACCACTAAAGTAATGAAGTTTTCATGAGGGTTAAAACTATGAATGCATTGAATTTAGAAAAGACTGAATCCTCTATTGGTGGGACGGTATTGGGTTGTGAGGTCTGTGAAGGGGGAGGGGGACGTGCCTCAATTCCAACTTAGCCAATTAGCAAATGCCAGGAGAGTCCACATTTGGGCGACACTGAAGATCCAGTAACCCACCCAGACAAGGCTTTTCCCAGTCACATATGGGAAGCCAAAAGAACAGTTTTCAGAATAAAATTTTTCAAGTTTCAAATAAAAAAAACTTAAAACTAAAAACTTAAAATACAACAAAAACTTACTCTTTAAGAGAAAAATCTTTCTGAAGTAAAAACCTCTTCTATGAACAGTATTTTCTGAAAAATCTAAGAAGTGATGGGACAATTTCAGAAATAAAAGCATTCTCAAGATGCATTTACTCTGGATGAGAAAAGCAGCTCAAGAAATTAAATTCTGTCCACTCAGGGTTGTAAAAATAAACATGCTGAGAGCCCTAAAACTATGTTTTCCAGCCAAGCCTGTAGACAGAAGGTTCTGCAGAAGGAAGCACAAAATCCACCACTGGCACCTCTGGCACCAAGGATGGATCCTGAGGTGACCGCACAGCCAAGCGGAGAGGAACCATGTGGCTCTGAGGGGCAGAGGCAGCACAGGAGCTCCACCTGTGTTGGCTCTGAAGGACCCAGAAGAATAGCTCAGGGTAGGGGACAGGCTGGACAGCAAGGCTACAGGCAGGCTGAGTCCTCACCATCCTTTCCAGAGGGTTAGGGATCCGTGCGGCCTTGTCCAGCAGCTCGCTGTACTCCAGCTCCTCACAGAGCCTCTGCAGCGTGTTCAGCGGCTCATTCAGCTCCACGGGCATGGCCACCTTGGACAGGTCCTTCCCAATGTTGTTGCGCAGGATGTTCCACAGGCTGATGTTGCTGGTGTTGGGACCCGGCGCGGGCAGGCATGTCCTTCTCTCGGTCCTCCCTTGTCCACCACACTCCAGAACAGGCCCTGAGAGGCAAAGACCTGGCTGTCTCTAACGATCTTTTCACCTGTTCTACTACTTAAGTAACAACTCTTTGAATTAAACCTTACCTGGTAAGTCCTCATTTTACTATGAAACTCATTTACCCAGAGTATGACTGAAAGCCGGAAAATAAGGAAAAGAATTCTGGGCAATTAAATACCAAAAATTAGGGCTTAGCGTGAAGCTCAGTGGAAAAGCCTATGCGAAGGATGTGTAAGGCCATGGTTTCAATCCCCAGCAACACAAAACAAACAAACAAAAATTGCACACATAAAATTCATGGAATTTATTCATAGGGAGGCTCTTAAGTTCTTAAAAGCTAGCTCCTTGAGGCTTATATATGCTTAGAATAAAACTAGAAATTGGGTTTCTATGCCTAAAGCAGGTGACACAAAAACTTATAAACTTTTCAAAATAAATCACTTCAAATTCTTATAAAAGCCATTGTGTTTATCACAGAATAATAATACGACATAACAGTCACTCATCTCAAAATAGCATTTATAGTTTGGAACATCTTCACTTAGTGTTTTCTCCATCCATATAGGTCACAATGTATGTATAGTTAGTGCCATGTTCAGTTTATTTACCTAACAGGAGTGTTTTCCCAAATTATTTAAAATTCTTCAGAAGCATCATTTTAAATGATTGTAAAAATATTCCACTTATTGATATGCCATCATTTAGTGAATCATTTGTCTACTGTTAAGACTATCAGATTTGTTTCAATGTTTTAATATGATGTAAACAAAACCAAAACAATCAACAAAAAATCAGTAGTAAATATTTCACATAAACAGATATTTTCCTGGACCTCTGATTATTTTCTTAGCACAGAAGTGGGATTACTACATCAGAGATTATGAATGTATTTAGACTTTTGACTCATGTGATCAGAATGCTCTTCAAAAAAGCTCTACCAATTTTCTCGTTAATTGGCAGTAGATGTGAATATTCATCTTCTGAGGCCTTTCCAGGCTTAGCACTATTTGTTTTCAATTTTTATCAACTTATTAGGTAGATAACGTTATCCCCTTGTTTTAATTTATATTTAAAAAATTTCTAGTATGGTTTAGAATACTTTTATGAGCATTTCTCCTTGGTTGATTTTTTGCCTTCTATGTACATATTAAAGCCACATCTTTTGTTTTTAAATTTGCTTTACAATTTAATCCTCATTTGGTGTTTACCTTTAAACATGGTCCATGAAGGGTGCTGGTGAATGAAACTTTTGAAGGGTGCTGGTGAATGAAACTTTTACATTTTAGACACACAAATCTATCAGTTGCAATGCTCTAAAATTCCTTGCCCATCCTAACTGTTCCTGCATTCAAATACTGCACTAGTGTATCTTCATTTATTAAACATTAAATATACAACATTTACTCATTATAAACCAATCTGGATAAAGAACCTGCTTTGATGAACAGAAAAATATGAAATGGATTAATATTTGTATTTGTTTTAATTGGTTATATAAGAAAAATCTGAAAAAAGAAAGTATCTGCAAACAGTATTAGTTTTTAAAAGCAGCTTTCTAGGGAGTTTCATCGTATTTTCTTTGATTTATAAATTTAAACTTTGGAACAATGGTATTCCCCACCAATACTATTAATGGCTTGCACATATTTTGCTTTTTACTCTGTGATGGTCAGTCTAAGCAATTTACATGTACTCCTCTCATTTATTTTTTATAACTACATTTTGAGGTATACAGAATATTATTTCCCCCATTTTACAGATGAATAAAATGAGGTACAGAAGTAACCTGTCTTAGCACACACAATCAGTGAGTGGCAGACCTGGAGTTGATAACCAAGGAAGTCCCTGAGTCCATATTTTTAGTCCCTTGTCCTCTCCACAGAACCAAACATAGTGACAGATCCTAACATGTGCCCAGTGACTTTTGGGGGGAAAGAAACTAATATTCTAAATATGTCATATTTACTATAAGGTCTGAGAAATTCTAGTGTCACAATAGGCTAAGAGTTGATTCTGTCTTATTTCTTTCTGTTGCTTAAACTTATAAGACATAAAGATTATTTCTATATCTATCTCTTCAAAATATTGAGAAGTTGTGGGCTGGGAATTTAGCTCAGTGGTTCCACTGCCGGCCTGGCAAGCACGGGGTCCTGAGTTCAATCCCCAGTACCAAAAAAAAAAAAAAAAAAAAAAAAATTGAGAAATCGAATATTCCTCATCCAATGTCTTTGAAGAACTGGGGAACAGCCATTTCTCATATTCAAATATGGACAAAGAAGAAAACTTGATTCTACCCACTGTTTGTTTTAGCTAAGGCAACACTGGTCAGCATTCCAGCAAAACAGTACTGTTACAAATTAGAGAGAACCCTAACTTTTTCTATGCTTTTCCTGGCTGCTGTTAAGTGAGCACAGCCATAGACTCGGGTTCTGAATTCTGTCCTCTCCGCTCAGCTTCAGCCTCTGAACCCCCCATTCACTCTGTGTTCCCTTTGGCTCCCTCTCTAAGGCCTCCAGGAACTGGAGGAGTTCAGAACCATGATAGTGTGTGTGCTGTTTGCCAATAAAGTAAATGATGTTTCTTCGCTACTCTTTTTTATTTGCTTTCTTGTTTTCCCAGAAAAACAAGGAGCACATGAACTTACTCCTGTAATACACAACATGACAAGCATCTACGGCTAGCAGATGTACTGCCAAAAGGATGCTCACTCAGATGCTGGGGAATGTGCCTACTTGCCTTTTTTCCATATTGTGGTCCCCAAAGAAGCAGCTCTTTAGTGTTTCAGCAACAGTTCATCATCATAGTTCACACATACTCACTGAGCTGAGAAACACAAAGTACCAATGAACATGCCTGACACAGTCCCTGTACTCCATGAAGATGTGAAAATAGTGGTGCTTTGAGTAGCACAGGCAAACTACAGACCCCAGGGCACACTGAGTATTAAGACTGGGACCATCTGATGCTTCAAGGACCCATGAAGAGAATTGTCCCATTGGGCAGATTCCTTAAAGAGCTCCTTCATAAATCAGAGCTCTTTGAGAATAGCCATACACTCCAGGTACTCCACACTTCAAACTAGCATTTTAAAATACCTTTCTTAGTCCTTGTTTTCCCTCTTAGGATGAAGCAGTAATAAAAAGACAACTTAGGGTATCTTGAGGGGAAGTAGAAGTGTATAATTTTGAATAATCTGCAGCTAAATTACTACTTAGAAAAGACCCTTTATTATATGTGCTGTTAAATTCTTAAATTATAAAAACCCTTAGATACCTAAAGGCACACAGTCATATTCTAATACATTTGGAGAGAAAATATTGCCGCCTAAAGGATAGCTGTTCCGTTATTTTTGTGATATGTATGTGAAAACTGGCATTCTCTCACCGTAAAAACTTTACAAGCAGACAAATTGATTTGAATGAATCTACCTTTCACATGTGACTACTATTTCCTCATCTAAATTATAAAATCCTAGAGGTGGGGACCGTGTTAATTTTCTCATGTAGGCTAGGTGTGGTGGTGCATGCCTATAATCCCAGCACTTGGGAGGCTGAGGCAGGAAGATGCTGTGAGTTTGAGACGAGACCAGCCTGGGCTACATAGTAAGTTCCAGGTCAGTCTCAACTACATAGTGAGACCCCATCTAAAAAAAACAAAAACAAATTTTTTTTCTCATGTAGTATTTGCTATAAATACTTATTAGGATTCTATGAAGACACAAGCTTTCAAAGATCAAAATAATGTAAATCTTACCCAAGGTTTGTCTTTCATTATCTAAATCATTACTAAGGTTGTCTAAAGAAAGGTTATCACTTATGTCACTGACATATGAATCATCATCAGAAATCTGTGGGAAAGAAGAAATAATATAATTGGAGTAAGACTAAACAACAATCATATTTTCATAAATTCCTTACTCCAAATGATCAAATGTGTTGAACTCCACTTTACAAAGCAATAGAAACATTTTTGGGGGCCAATCTTCCTAGGCAGTGCTCACAGCAAAACAACTGTTATTAAATAAACATATTCTTGGTTAGCACTAACAGTAAAATAACAAATAAACCAAAAATTTCTGCTATCATAAAAATTTGTATTAATTCATACTGCATTTTCAGAATGTTAATATTTGAGTGGGAGTTACAATTTACCTTTGAAGTATTTATGAAAAATAAATTTTCTGTGGGATTAATATGTCAACAATGTTACCACACACACATATATATATATATAAAGACTGACCTGGAACTCATTATGTAGCCCAGGCTGGTCTCGAACTCACAGCGATCCTCCTGCCTCAGCCTCCAGAGTGCTGGGATTACAGGCATGCGCCACGACGCCCAGCCTTACCACTTCTATATTTAAGAAGCACATTTATTAGTATACATTTACACAGAAAATGCTAACTATGGTATTTGCCTATTCTAGAAAGTATGATTTTTATGTAACAATTTAAAGCAATACTGCATTCTGTAAATTAATACTATAATAACCACATTATACTGTAAAATTATATCATAAAACTAACATGACTAAAAATGCACAGAATGCTATTTGCTTTCCCTATAGTGGAAATATTACATTACTAAATAGAAATCAGAATTATCAATCTATAATGAAAATGTAACAAAATAACAGAAATGAGGAGGTGTCTAACATTCTCTACATTTATAACTTTTTTCTTCTAGCCTATCAAATCATTTTGTGTTTTTTGGGTATCACTCAACAGAGAACACTCTGAATTCCATGGTGGAAAAGGGTGTATGAATCTTGTGTCTCTACATACAAATCTTTACTGAACAGGTTAATCAACAAAGATATAACAGTGATTGTCAAGGCATCTAATGGAAAATAGTGCACAAACCTCATTTTCTGAAGAGCTTGGAGACAAAAGAACTTCCTGTGCATCAAAAAATTCCGAAAGGGAATCAGTAATAGAGAGCCTGCTTTCACTGGAAAGCTGATGGACCAGAGCTCGGTTTTCATCTCTGGAGTTTTCCTACATTAAAGAATAAAACCAAAAATGCATATATTTAGAAAGTCTCAAGAAATAAAGAAAAAAAAAAAACCCCAATTTTAATTGCCTAAAATACAGGGTCACAGTCCCAGGCAAACAAAGCAGAGGTCAGTACCAAAGCTGAGAATAAGCCTCACACAAAACAAAATGAAAAGTGAAGTTCTCCCCAAATAGACACTTCACTTATAGGTACGAGCACTGCTCAGACACATGCCATAGATCTTAAGCCAAAAAGAGCTGTCCAGGTCAGTCTTTTCCACCAAAGAGGAAAATTCCAAAGTTCTCTGAATCATATCCTCCTATTCTCTGCCACTGCAGGACACTTCTTTTCCTCCTGAAATTTCCTCAGAATTGTACGGACTGCACATCCCTCCATGGTTGGCTCCATGCAGCACAGCTTTCTTCGGTTCCTATGCACTCACAAAGGCCAATATGCTACTTTTGAGGTGACCCTTGACAAATAAACAGTGTTTTTGTCCAGAAGTGTCCCTGGTGGCAGATCATTTATTATTCATGGATGAGTAAGATGAATTGTTTCTTTCTTTCCACCTACAATGGCTCTTCAAGCGAGGGAAACCCCCAATCTACAGTATCACCTTCTACACACACAACAGATCACACTTCTGTCATCGCATGTGGCCCTCTACTCTCCACTCCACAGGGTCTAGACGTGTGCTACAAACAGGAGGACCTGAACACTCAGCTGGTTTGCTTTCTATTCTATTTGCAAGCAAAAGTTCAACTCAACTCAATAAATTAAGCAACTCATTCATATACAGTCCTCAGTTGACCATGAAGAAATATGATAAAGAAGATGAGGTTTTGGTCTGAAAGGGTGGTGTGCAAAACACACCACCAACACACATCAGACCAAGACTGTGAAGAGGCAAAGGACTATAGGAGCTAATCTGAAGGTGAGCTTGTGTCTGATGCAGCAGCTCTGGTTTGGTGATGTCTGACCCAGACCTTGAGGAAGAAGAACAGATTTAGGATGAGATGATTTGACTCCTTGGTCTTAGAGAAGAAAAATCATTCATTCCCCTAAGCACCTGAACAGCTCACACTTTTCACTGTGTTGGTTAAGGAGCTGTGTCTATGTCATTACATACCTAATGAACAAGTACTGAATAACCTGGGGAACAGACACTAATGGACAAATGATGCCCAGAGGTTTTACAAGTTCAGGAAACACTGTTGTCTCAAATACAAATTATGCCCATGTTAGAACAGGAAAGCTTCAGTATACTTTCACAGTTAATAAAAGGGCAAGGGGTACCTTTATGAATTGTTCACACAGCAGTGGGTGGGGGACACACACATGGAAATATCTTTCCCTTTCTCTTGGAATCTTCCTCAATAAGGTATCTGCCCAAGGTATTGGTTTAGAGATCACTCATGTTAATATCCATGCAGTTTTCTGAGAAGCCAGCTTCTTCTCTATATTAACCAAGAGATCACTGTAGAATCTATAAATAACTATCACAGCTGTCATCTTAAAGGAACAGTATCTATCTTCCACAGAGCCAGGCACAGGGTTACTGAATTTGAAGACACAGTAATGACTAGCTGAGCTCCTTTAACGTTCCTTAGAGATAATGTAATCTTCCTGGGTCTCCAGTGTGCCCTGCCATGTGAGATGCTAATGACTTATTTATTTGTGTACTCATTAATTCATCATGATGTACTCCTGCTTTTTATCTTCCTCCTCCTAGACTGATGGGTCAGGAAGGTTTCCTGGCTGATCAAAATTGAAAATGACACAGCTGAGTATCTCTTTCTGAAATGCTTGGTTGGGATCAGATGTGTTTCAGATTTCTCACTTTCTGGGACTTTGGAATATTTCAATGTACATAATGGGACCGAAGTCTAAACATGAAATTCATTTATGTTTCACAAATTCTGTATTTTGAACACATAGCCCGAAGATAATTTTATACAATATTTTTAGTGTACTTCAATTTAAACTGAGACCTGACACTTGAGGTCAGATATGGAATTTTCCACTTGTGGCATCATGATGATGCTCAAAGTGGAGCATTTTTCAACCTGCTGTCCTATGCCCTGCCTTCTTCTGCTGTCCCACCACTCTGGCAACTTCCTACCAATTAGTACTGAATATTTGCCAGGATTGCAGCAGCCCCAACCCTTAGCAGTTCTTGAACAACTCAGGATGTTATCTATTAAAATAGTAACATGGTTCAATTTAACTATTTCCCCTTGATCTTTGTAACTCAGATTATCTATTGTTTATATTTCAAAAAGTCAAACAACGAAGAAAGAGAATTATAATCCCATTGCAGCAAGAAAACTACTAAAGGCACATTGGACACCTTTCTCTGCAATCTTTGTTTTTTTTAGTACATGTTTGCAGTACATAATGATTACATTTATTGTGGGGAGTTGGTACATGTAGTTGTACTTTGTTTTGAAATAACTGAATTATACTATTTATATATATATATACACACACATAATTTCACAAACTTTTCTCAAATACTACACCCAAATTATTTTTCAAAATAATTTCTAATGTCTTCTGAGAATAAGACTACAGTATATTCAAAACAGAAAATACATAAAAATCTAAGTAAATATCACTTAAAGTCCCATCACCTAGATGTGGTCCTTATTAATTTATTCATATAATTTTTGTTAAAATACTGTATATAATTTGGGGAGTTTTAGGGGTTTCTTTGTTGAAAAACTGATCAAAGTACATACAACCTGTAGATTTTCTGCTACATTAACTTAAAATACTGTGGACATCTTCCAGGCCATTAAAATTTCCCTGAGAAATAAAATTGAATTGATAGGATATTTTATTATAAGTATGTACCCTTGAGTAACATTTCTCTGTATTGGAAGTTAAGGGTATTTCTAGGTTTGCAGATGTTTGTAAATATGCCTTTGCTCGTATCTTGTTATGTCCTAGGATCAGTTTTCAGAAGTAGAATTATTAAAAATGTTTAAGGAATATATATATATATGATTACATTAACAAGAAAACTATTTTCTTTATATCCTTATATTAAGGGCAATGAATATCATAATTTAAAAAGAATCTTTGTGTTGATCTAATTGTTTCACTTTTTATTAAGTTGAACAGTTCTTTCTTTTTTAAAAAACTAGCCATATAGTTTTAATGTTGGGAGAGACTGGGCAAGGGGCACATGGCTCTTTCTTTTGCATTGCTTTGTACCTTCCTGTGAATTTGTAAATATGATCACGTACTATATAATGCTATCTCTGTCAAAGGGTCCCATAAGATTATAACATCTGAAAAATTCCTGTCCCTTACTGATGTCATAGCTGTAAAAAATGACACTGCAAGGCCTGACTCATGCTTGTGGTGATGCTGGTATAAACAAATCCATAGCACTTGCCAGTCATATAAAAGTACAGCCACATATAATTATGTACAGTACATAATATCTAATAATGGTAATATATGGCTATGTTACTGGATTATGTATTTACTATATCTTTACTTTAGAATGTAGTTCTACATATATATCCCCCCACCCACCTAAATCAACTATTAAACAGTGACAGGCTGAGGGATACAGAAGAAGGCACTGTTGTCACAGGAGCTGACAGATTCATTTGTGTTTTCAAACCTGAGGACATTCTAGTGGGATAAGACGCAAAGATGGAAGATAGTGCTACTGATAATCCTGATTCTGTGTAGGCCTAGCTTAATGTGTGCGTCTTAGGTTTTAGCAAAAAAGTATAAAATATAAAAACAAAACAATAACACATTGAAATAATAGGTTATAGCACATAGCTTACATGGTTGTTCCACTTGGCCTAAGTATGTAGTAGTTATACTATCTAGGTTTGTATACACACACTATCTAACATCATTCAACAGTGTGGTATTGCTGAGAACATATCCTACTAGTTAAAATGATGCAATAAAAAATAAAAAAACAAAATCCCACAATTACTTGCTCATGCACTTGTGTGAATTATATTCTTTTTCCATTTACTTGGTGAGGTCTTATTTGTCCATTGCTTAAGTTGTAAAAACACTGCCATTGATTTTGCATTATTTAAGCCTGTCATTTTCTATGAAAATATTTTTCTTAGTCTGTTATAAGCTTTATTTTTGGACACATACCATTTTCCCCTAAAATAACAGATTCAGTCAACATTTCTTTAGCAATTTTTTTATGACTCCTAGGAAATCTCTACTTCAGGAGCTTGATAAATATTCAGTATTTTTTAGTCTGCACTTTTATATTTAACTCAAATTGACTGGTGGTTCATTTTGGCATGTAATAGAAAGATTTGAACTTCTTTCCAAATTGCTCTGAGCTGCACTGATCTAATTTATTGGAGAATCCATATCTTTATCGTTGGTTTTTAATGCAGTTCTCATCTACATATTCATTTATTTTATATATAAAATGGTGTTTATGCCTAAGATAGCTATTCTGCCTCATTTTCCCAGCATCCCTACCTTATTTTAACCAGTAGCGCTTCAATGACTTATTGGCTCAGCATGTCTTTCTTCCTTACACAGCTCTAAGGAGATACTGAGAAAGCACGGGCTTTGCCCTCATTAGACATGAATTTAAATCTCAGCATTGTCTCTTGTAAGCTGCATGCCTGTGAAAGTTATTTAACCGCTCTGGGCTTTCCTTTCCTTTTTTCTAAAATGAAAACACCATTGCCTATTTCATAGAGTGAAGATTAGGAATTTGTGAGATAAGGTATCCCAATGCACAAGAAATGCAGCAAGCAGATAGGCAAGTAAGAGAATTAAGTTCCCTTCTTTTCTTTTAGACACTTTTTAGTCTCATAAATGGACTTTAGATGTAAAAGGGTGTTAACTCCAAAAGTCACCTGGCCTTTCATTTGGAATGTAAAATAATATTAAATAAAGAACTGATCTCCTAATAATATTAAATTTTCACATTCAGGAATATGAAACGGTGGGATCTGATAGGTTGTGGGAAAATTGCAGACAGGAAAAGGGGGTAATCTGTGCATTTAAAAGAAGTAACATAAAGTAACAAAGATAGTGAAAGGTCCTAAAAACAGAGCCCCTGGGCTGACTCCACTGTTAAAAAAAGCTGCCAGTCCCCAAAGGAGCAGCATTTGAGGTGCCTGAGAATTACCTATGAAAAATAAACTGGATTTAAATTTTCAGTTTGGGTGGATACTTCCACTTTTGTGGAATTTCCACTTATTTCCTAACAACAACAATGGCTTTTCCCTTGCTGGGAAAGTAAGCCTGAGTCACTCAGTGAAAAAAAAAGGATAAATCATGGGGAACAACAACAACAAAAAAAATCTCTGGAAGAGGGAAGAGGAAATATATGAAATATTGATTAGAGACTCAAGAAGGCTGTTTTGGAAGGTGTGACTTTGAGGTGACTACACTGCAAGGACAATTTATGGCATTTTAAGCTTTCTTATACATTAATTTTGAGATCATTCTAAAAATATCCATTTGTAAATGCCTGGGATTTTGGTTTCTATTCCAAAACACAAATGGGCCTAAGTACACATACTGAGTACACTCACAAAGGCCTAAGTGAAACTTACCTAGCTACTCAATAAATGTATAAATGTAATTTATAGGATATACTATGTATGAGATAGGTACCATCTGGAAATAAGCATGGAACCAGAAATCACCATGGTATTAAGCAGCAGACAACCCTGAGTAATGGCTGGTCATGGCTGAGACTGGGCCCTGATTTAAGTGAGTGCGCAGATTCAAAAGAGGGCTGATGCTGGTCCAGGCCAGAAAAGAAGGCCACCATAATAATATTAAGATGTTAAATTCTACGGGTGATTGTTTGGATTTAGTGCTGCTTATTAACCTAGAGATTTCAATTGTAAAGCAACACTTTTTTCCCTCAAAGCTTGACATTGTTCTGTAAATGAAAAAAATCACAGGAAGGGAAGTGGGAGGAAAGAACAACAAAGAAAGAATAGCATAGTGTTTACAGAGTGAGCAAAGAAAGCTGGCAAGTAACTGGGTATGACAGGTCAGAGAAACTTAGGTTTCTTGAGAAATGACAGGAGAAAATGTTGTCTATAGTTCCTACTCCATTAATTCTACTAAAAGGAATAAGGATGTGGAGGGGTAAATAAGGTGAAGAAATACAAAAGGAAGAAGCTGGGGAAAAAAGCAGCTTAAAAACTATGCTTAGCACATATTCCTGTGGAATTAATTTAAATCCTGAGAGCGCAGTCCATGCAGAACTGTGGCAGCACCCAGCTGTGCCCAGCACCCAGGGGAGGCAGTAGAAAGGCAAACACTATTCAGGAGGGTGAAGCAGGGAGACCGTACGACTGGACAGAGGACATCATGTGAGGAGGTGGCAGTCACAGAGAGGTTGCCAGACGAGAAACCTACCCACCTCTGCCTGATTGTCACCCAACTTGGCAATAGCAGGCGGGTCGAGGAGCAGAGATTCGGCATGGATTCTGCGTAAGCGTTCTTTAAGATCTGTGTTTTGCGCTATGGCCTGGAACATGTTAAAAATAGTGGTGCTCCATTAATAAGTGGATGTCTCAGGGAAGGACAGCAGGGGGCCCAGAGGAAGAGCTCTCTCAGAGCAGAGGAAGCTCTGGGTGTTGGAGGCCCAAGGGGGCACTTCTGGGGTTGCTCCAAGAGCTCTCCAGCAGGAGGCGCATCTCACACCCATGGAGGAAACACAGGGCACTCTGAAAATAATGCTCTATCACCAATCTCATCTCCAGAGAGGTAGAAGGAGGGTTAGTAAGGGTGACAAAAGGAAGTCACAACCATCACCAGCTTCATTAAAGCTGGCAGCCTCATAGCATCTCCCTCTCCTGACCAAGGGTCTTTGATGGTCTTCAGCCACCCAGCCCTCATGGGTAGTAATTCCAAGCTCCACTCATTCTTGAAGAGATGCTTCTCCCACCTTGTGGTCAAATCTATTTAAATGTAATTTAATTTTCACATCAGCTAAACTGGACTTTAGAAAGGGTGCTGAGATGCAGAACTTTTTGGAAGGTTAATTTTACTTTTTGGCAATTTTAGGACTTTTTTTTTAATAAGCCAACCTCACTTACCTGCATAAGGGCTTAATGACCAGACCATGGCCTTGGGAATGGGTGAATGTGAGCTCTGACCATATCCGAGACCAATGAGACCTCTTTTATTTCCCCCTAAGCAGGCCCCACTCTTATCTCAACCTCTCAACTAGGAAGACCCTGCTCCAAGTTAAAGGAAGATGTTTCCTTCTTACTGACATTCCTGTGTACTACATGATCAACTGTCCTCCAAACGATCTGGCTTTGGAAGGGGACAAGCTCTCCTGATCACCCCCAACACTCCCATACCTCTCCCGAGGTAATTTAATTCAGATGCATCCTTCCTGATTTCTTGACTCTCTTTAAAGCTCAGAGCCTTTCCCATCTAGCAAAGTCCACAGGGCTTACCTTCGGAGAGTTCAGAGGGATGCGCTACTGCCTTGACTCTCTTTAAAGCTCAGAGCCTTTCCCATCTAGCAAAGTCCACAGGGCTTACCTTCGGAGAGTTCAGAGGGATGCGCTACTGCTTTACCCACTGCCTCAATCACCAGCAAGGATTCTGCCTGCATCTTTCAGTATCCACAGAAGTTTTTGGGTATTCTGAAATCCTTGAGGATCCTTTAAGAAACACTGAACTCAACCACATACAACACTCTCTTTACGGTACCTAGTTCATTCTGGCCAGTCTCCTTGGTACACTAGCTGGGATCTTAGCCTAGCCTATAATTTCTTATTTTAGAAGGTTTTTCTCTAAGCCTCAGGTAGAAATAAGAAAGAAACATACCAAGATGGCAACACACAGCCTCAGCTTATCCACTCTGATAACTCTGAGATGATCCTAAAAAATTTATTTTTAAAAGACAAAGCCTGGACTGAATCAGGAATCCAAGCTAAAAAGGAAAGAAAGGCCCTTTCTGCTTTAAGCTTCCAAAATCATAAACATGGGTGAGAGTGAATTCATTACAGCAAAGGCGAAGACCACTTTGGCTGAATGAGTCTCAACGGCCACACAAGCAGATCAATGAATGAGATGAGGCCAGGCCTTCCCGGAGGTGTATGGGAGCAGGGAGAAGGAGACCATGAGGGAGAAACTTTGTAGGGACCATCAGAGGTACCTCCCAAACTCGCTGAAAGCTACTTAATGGAAACAAAAAGAAATGCTCTACCACTGAGTAAAAAACAAAACAAAACACTGTTAAGTAGCAACTCAGTATGTGGCTGGCTCTTCACTACAATCCAAAAAGGTATTTTTCTATCTCTGACATGAAGACTCTCTCTACACGTGGAGTAAGCCAATGTTTTTAATTTTTATTTCAAAGACAATATACTTCAAATTGTCAACTGAGTGAATATACTTTAAGAATTACAAAGGATATATCATTAATATTTCATGAGCATGACTTCTCTCAGCAACATGATAAACAAAAATACAGATATTTTCATGCTCATGGTGGCTTTTGGTAATAAGATCCTAAAATGCATACCCTTATCTGGCCTAAAATAGAAAATTCAGTAACTGAAAGTGTAAATAACGACTAAAAAGTGTAATAGATACTGTGAAATAGGAAGAAAAGGGACCAAAGGAGAAGGGGAAATGGGGTGGGGTAGGGGAAAGGAAAGAAGGGAATGGAATTAATATGAAAAAATGAAAAATAACAGAAACAAAGTCTTTGTAGATAGGGAGGGAGGGGTAAAAAGGAGGGCAGGGGGATGGGAAAAAAACAAGAACCAAGATTGATTATGTAAAGATACAAATTTCTAACAGTGAATCTCATTATATTAAATGTATCAATAAAATTAATTTTAAAAAAAGAAAATTCAGTACTCCTTTAGATGGTAGTTTCAGATATGCACATTTTACACATAGAAAAGCAGGAATTCCAAGCAAAGAGCAAAAGCAAAACAAACATGCTGTTTCAAAACTTTCTAGCTTCTTGCTAGATAAAGGATGAATTTCCAGACAACTTCAGGCACTTAGATAGGGTTAGGACCTGAGACATCAATCACAAAGCACAACTATTCTAAGGAATGAGTTGCAGAAAAAGAAGAGTAAGTGAGCGACAGAATGGCTTATGGAAAAACACCTGAGGCCCTGACAATGATTTTCTTGTCGTCATGAAGGCACAGTGATTACCTGACAGACACTTCTGTATGAAGCATCTCTGCGCCCACAGGGGTGAAAAGCTAAGTGTTTTGTGATACTTAATAAAATAAAATAACTTCCACATCTTTAAAAGAGAGGTAAGAAAGATCACTGCTTTGCAGGCGAGAAGATAAGAGGGTAGATTGGAAATTTCTCTCTGCCACCTGTTATTTGCTGAGTTAATCTAAGCTTATGGTATCCCACATCCAAAAATCTCCGCCAGATTGTCAGATTTTGTAAGAACTAACAAACACATCTGTGGACACACACAGATATACAGCAGGGCTTTATGGAAACAGAAAAATTCAAACAAATTGGAGGAACCCAAACAAAGAATCCAACACTTAATAAAATACAGTTATTAAGACTTGGGGGGCTGGGGATTTAGCTCAGTAGTTTCGCCACCTGCCTCACAAGCACAAAGGCCTGAGTTCGATCCCAGGTACCAAAAAAAAAAAAAAAAAAAAAAAAAAATTGGGGGAAAACTTGGGGTAGACTAAGTTTCCTTATTTAGAATATGCAGATCTGATGAAAGATTAGAATATAATTTGGATAATTTGTCTGGTTTTCTCTTGAATTTTCAACCCAACCATGAAAATCATGGAAATGGAGAACATAAGCAGTGGACACATGTGTCGTCATTTCTCTGACACAGACATGTAACTCACGGATGACAGGGCGTGCTTCAGACCAACGGCCTGAGCAGAAGGGGAGGTGGAGGCATCCTGCTCCATCAGCTGCTTCAGCTTCTCTCTCTCCGTCGATACGGCATGAAAAGCTGACCTTAAAGCGAAGTAAACTACAAAGATATAATCATTGTAAGAGGGACCAAAAGAAGAGGCATAATTAAGAATTTAACAGAGTGGCAGACCCAAATATTTTCAGTTTCGCAAATACATATTGTACATTGTCTTTTCAAAAACACATTTGCAATACACAACATTAAGTGTGAAATAGAATACAAACTACAGGCGCTGTGTGATAATGACATGTCAGTGCTGGTTCCTCAGCTGTCATGGGCACCATTCTGGTCTGGGGGCTGTGCTAGGGGACAGGGCATATACTTTCTGCTCAGTTTTGCTGCGGACCTAAGAGTGCTTTTTATTTTATTATTATTTTTTTTTTTGGTACCAGGGATTGAACTCGGGTCCTTGCGCTTGCAAGGCAGGCCACCGAACCGCTGAGCTAAATCCCCGGCCCAAGAGTGCTTTTTAAAAGTCTATTCAAATTTATAGACATATACGCACATTTGCCAATTCTAAGGCACCTTCCCACCAATACAGTCCATGATTTTATATCTTATGGATACTCAACAATCAGCATTCGGTTTTGTTTGTATCCCCAAGGCAGTAAGCAGTTAAGAACAAGGCTTACCAATTATCAGAGGGAAAATGATAATGCCACCAAAAAACTAGGTAGCTCTTTAACCAGATGATCAAAATTAATTATAAGTGAGAGTGAGGTGGATGCTGTGCCTCTGGGTTCAGTACCCTGGAAAAAGAAACACTATCTTCCTGATTGAATGCCAGCCAGGGATGTACATCTGGATTTGATCATGGTGAAACAACAGACAACCAAACATCCTGTTTCCAAAAATGGCCTGTTTTTCAAAAGTATCAATTTTATAAAAGAAAAAAAAAAAAGCTTAGGAACTGTTCCCAATTAAAGGATATACTCCTAAGTAAAATAAATAAGTCACACATGTGTAAATACCAAATAGTTTCTCTGGTGTGAAAAACTATAGTAGTACATAAAATCCTAATGAGGCTGGGTGTGGTGGTGCACACCTGTAATCCCAGCACTGGGGAGGCAGAGGCAGGAGGACCACTGTGAGTTCGAGACCAGCCTAGGCTACACAGTGAGTTCCAGGTCAGTCTCAACTACATAGTGAGATGCTCTCTCCAAAAAACCCAAACAAACAAACAAACAAAAAGATCCTAATGAGATAATTGACAATGTGAAATAGGAAGGAAAGGGCTAAAGGTGTAGGGGAAGTGGGAAGGGTAGGGGAAAGGTAATAAGGGAAAAGAAAAAAAATGAGAAAATGAAAAAATGGAAATAAAGTGTTTGTAAATGGGGAGGGGAGGAGGAGGTGAAGGGAGGGCAGGAACAAGGGGAAAAAATGAGAACCAAGACCTGTAATGTAGAGGTACAAGATCCCAATAATGAATGTAACTGTACTGCATACCTAGAATGTACCAATAAACTCAATGAGGAAAAAAAAAAAA